GTACTCAAGTGGTTGTGTATTTTTATAGCTTAGTATAGCTCGAAGCATATGATTCCTACAAACTCATTTCACTCAGTCATTATTAAATATTCTTAAAATGGAAGAATAGTTCTTAAACAGGAAGCTTCCTGAAACAGAGTTTCACTTCACACTAACTGCTGTATGGGCCCTGGTGAAAGACTGAAATTTTTGGGGAGGGCTCTTACCAGAAGCAACAGTACAAATACCGGCAGAAGAAAATGTGATACCAAATTTCTTCATAATTTTTATTAGGACATGTAATCTTTGTGAAAAGTTGTTAGAAATTTGTCCATTTGCTAAAATAGTGGTGACCCAGATTTTCTATTTTTTAAAATAGTGTACTGCTTTTGGCTGGGATAGAGTTAACTTTCATCATAGTAGTTTGCATGGTGCTGTGTTTGGTATATGCAATCAAAACTGTGCTGATAATGCACTGTTGAGCACTGCTTACATCAAGGCCTTTTCTGTTTCTCATGTTGCCACTCCAGTGTCTAGACTGGGGTGGGCAAGGAGTTGGTAGGGGACACAGCCAGGAGAGTTTATCCAAATTAATGAAAGAGGTATTTCATGTCATAAGGTGTTGTACTGAGTGATAAAAGATGGTGGTGGGGGTAGGGGGGAGCATGGAAAGAGGGACAAAGGCATGACATTTAGAGAGAAGGTGTTTTTATTTCCAAGTAACCATTATTCTTGGTGAAGTCCTGCTTTCCTGTGCAGGTTTTGCTTGTATGCTCAGATTTTTCTTTAGTCATTAGTTTTCTCAGTTTTACCCTTCCAGTTCTCTCAACCACCCTGCTGCATGGGAGTGACCAAGCTGAACTGCCTATTAAGGTTAAACACCACAAATAATAGTTGTTTTACTTTTATGAGACATATATCATCCCCAAAACCTGAAGAATTTATCAAAAAATGTCTCCTTTTCCTACCCTCTACTGACTTGTGTGTTGCCACATGCCTTCAGAATTTAACTACAGGCTAAAAATTTAGAAAGCTGGTCTCACCTGTAAGAATTTTATTTCTGTATATGGAGATATGTCCAGAGAAAGAAAGATAACATAACCACCTTTAATCTGGTCACTCCTAATACACCAAAGTATCATATCAAAAACTTTTGCCACATTATTTTAGCAGAAGTTGATAACCTCTGTGCCCTTTACAAAGAATTTTCCAAGATAACATCTCACAGGCTTCATGTATATATATATTGCTTTGCATATGACTACATCACATTTGAGCATAGACTTTACTACCTTTGAATACAAATATTCTATAATGAGCATGCTCATTTATTTTCTCAGATCATAAAGCAATAAAACAAAACACATTCAAAAGGTCGACCTGGTTAACAATCCTAACCAAAACTTACAAATTTCAAAGCGAGAATGAAGAATTTAGAACACTATTTTATTTATAAAGCATGTTTGACTACTGTCAGTAATGTTCCTTTTTTCTTTTATATGAATAATACATCAGCTAATCTGTTGTTTTACTTGGCTAACAACCCTGTAGACAATCAGATAATTTCCTAGAATCCTAAGAGAAATTTATTTATTGCTTGGGCAAAGAGTGGCACAAATGGAAGAGGAAGTCTTCTAAATCCAGTAACAGATTCTGCTCATGTCTAGACATGACTGAAACACCGTGAGAGATGGATAAAAAGGTCAAGCAGTTTTCCATTTCTTGGATGGATCTGTTACAGGTTTGTGCAAGTGAAACTAATATCAGAATGTATAAATATAAGAATGAAATTTCAGAAATAGTTACCTGAACTTTATCATTGGAGAAATCATAACATCTACTCCTCCAATAGCTAACCTGCCTCTAACTTACCCTCACAATAAATTTGACAGTAATCCAATCATTTTGCTGAATGACAAATATGGCTCAAAGTAAACCTGGTTTTCAAATATCTTTTCAGTTATGCTGGTACAAACATTAAAAATCCTGGATCAGTTGCTGATCTGTTTGACCATGCAGTTCTATAAAAATTAAACCAGCACAACTGAGAGGGTGTAAAAAAACACGCAAACAGTGAAAAGATAGAACAGTTCAAAGTGGGCTTGACTCCAAGGAAAGAATTCTCTGTAATGATATTCAGTGAGACCAATGGGAACTGATGAGTTTTTCCTCCTAATTGAATCCAGAGTTGATTTCAATTAGAATTCATAGCCCATGGCATTTAGTGCTATCATCACTGCAGAATCACATTACAAAGGGCATAAGTTATATAAACTAAGATGCAAAGTTTTCCATAGTTTCAAGAAGCGACTGTAATTAGAGTGTATTACTTGGAAGCTATTAGATTAAATTACACATTCCCATTCCTTTTAAAGTTAGTTGATTTTCTAGATTGAAAGAAGATGTTAGATTCAATGGTAATGAAGCAATATTAACTAGGTAGTAGTTAGGTAAGAAGAGTGAACAAAATTATTATTATGTCATATATTCATTTATTGGTGACAATCAAGACAAAATTTAGAAGAATTTATCTGTGGAAGAGCTTCCCTTTTTGATGAAATCTATACTGCTTTTATAATATTAATTTCTTAAAAACACCGAATAAGCTTCCCTAGAAAAGTAAATTTGGAAAATTTTCTGGCTAAGTAAAGACTTTGCCATCACAGGTTATTTTCACAAGTTTATAATCTCCAGGCTATAAAAAGTAGAATATGTTAGCCATTTATTAAGTACCACACATCAAAAAAGCCCAAGTGAGAAAAGTTTATTAATGAATTAGTTTATTAATAAGAATTAAGTTATTATTCTTATTAATAAGAATTAAAAGTTTATTAATAAGAATTATTGGTGAGGAAAAAAGCAATTTCAGAAGGAGACTAACAATATTCTTCTCCATTTATAATATTAATATTAAATATAATATTATAATAGTATAAATATAAATAATGTAAATATATATTTACATATAAATATAAAGAATATAAATAAATCTATATTTACTTATAAATATAAAGAATATGTAAAAAGCCCCATACCCTGCTCTCAATTCTGTTTGCATGTAGAATCACACACTGAAGACAATTTGGATGCCATGTTTTTTAGTTTGGAGGATCTTGTGGGTTTGTTTTTGTTTTGCTTTGTATTTTACTTTGAAGTCTTTAGCACTACTCGATTGTTTGTTTATGCTTCTAAGAATCACAAATACAAGACTTTTTTTATTTCAACAAATTCTTCACTGCCAATTTGTCAAATGATAAATTTAGCTTTTTGTAGTCTTAGGGGTATTAATATAAAACAAAATGCTAATAAGAAATTCACTTGCAATCTCACACTGACTGTTACATCTTATGAAGATATCCCCTAATGATGAGTAAGAGTTTACTGAAAATATGGTTCTGTTGTGCTATGTATTATCTGGAAGTTTAGTTTTGATCAAACAATGTCTGTGTTTCAACAAGAATGCAGAGCAGGGTTTTTAACTGGCATTTTTCTGAAAAAAACCAAAAATAGGCAGAAGAATAATTAATCTCAGAAATGTTCACAGAAAGTGAAATGATCAAATGACACTAAGTAAAGAACTACTGCAGAAAGTACTCAAAATGATGGAAGAATGTATTATTATATATTGTTTTTAAAATACTCTTTCTCTCATAGATAGACCAATGCCACTCCCAAAATTTAGCATTAGCAGTTTACTTAAAAAAGACTATAATTCATGTTGACAATTAGTAGACAATTAGACTATTTTGGCTGCGGTTCTCAGTGGAGCCATTTTCAGAATAACTTACTACATGACACTGAGGAAAACACTGAGTACCTCAACACTGCATACCGAAGCAAAAAGCCTTTTTTACTAGGGTAGACATGAGACACCCAGGGCAATTTGGAAAATGTTGCTGAAAGAGTAGCAAGAATTATATATTTCCTCGTATGTAAAAGTGAAAAAAAGTTACTTGTTTGAGCTTGGCAATGTCTGGAAACAAGTTCTAGATGCATGCAGCACTGTCCATCACATTAAGTATCCACAGAAATAAAAATGTGCTTTATATTCATAAACTGGAAAGTATTTTGGCTTATTACTCCTTTTCCCCAAATCCACTACAAGGCTATCTATTTTGTTTACAGTTACTTTTCTAAATCTCAGCACACGTTTGCTTTCAGAAATACACACAACAGAAAGGGAAAATAGTATTCCTTAGATTTGGTGAATCTATGTGTGTCCTTACATACCTGGGGATCAATGGCATACTAATGACTACAGTAGCTATTCTTGGTGTTTAGTAGCATCTGGGGGTTCATCCTGGGTCTAGTTCTGCCTAATATCTTAATCAATGGACTGAATGATGGGACAGCATGTCCACTCAGCTAGTCTGCAGGTGGCATAAGACTGGGAGAGGCAGTGATACCTCAGAGAGTTGTGCTGCCATGCAGAGGGGCTGACAGGCTGGAGGGATGGGATGATAGAAGACCCATGTGTTGGGGTGTGTTTACGTATAGTGGTTCATTCCTGTATCCCCTATTTTCTGATAATGGTTCTGCCCGGACTCCCTCTCTGTCTCCCTCCTGGATCGCCCCGTCAGTTATGCTTCTCCCCTCCCTTTCCATACACTGTATCCTTCCTAACCCCTCCCTGGTTGCCTGTCCGTCACTCGGTGCCCACACCCTTCCATCCAGAACCTTCTACCTTGGCATCGGGTGATTGGACCAGGGGCCAGGGCTCCACCCCCAGTTAACCCCAGTTGGATACCCGAGCTGTTTGTTACTTGTTTTCCCCTCCCATCGAAAATTTTGATTGGTCCTCGTCCTCATGTTATAAGGCCCTGCTGGGCATGTTTTTCCTTTGTCCGCGCCCGACGACCCCTCTGCAATAAACACCCTCGTTTTTTCCCCCGTCGACGCGGTCCTGCCTTTTCCTTCTCCTGTGGGTTGCAGCCCTGCTCCTCTTCACTGCTCTGTGGATCCTCGCTTCCAAAGGCGATAGCCTTTGGCGCTCTCTCAGGGAAGCCCTCCGGTGAGAGAGTGCCCCCAGTGCTGCTGGCAGTGCTGGCCGCAGCTAGCCGGGACATTCGGAGACTTAGAGGTCAGCCGCCGCCGCTGCAGTTTGGCGCCCAACATGGGGCATGTCCGAGGAGATCACCGGACCCCGCGGACGAGGATCCTAGAGCCATCGGGCTCAACCCGCTGGACTTCTAGACAGTTCCTCTTCTGGCCGTCAAGCTACCCCAGGGTGAGCAGACCCACTGTGGTGGGTGGCGCTCCCCGGGGACCGGGACCGGCAGCTCCCTGCACCCAGGAGTCGGTCCCACCACAGGAGTCACCTTCCCTGGACTCTCGTTGGACCTCCTGGTGACCTGTAAGTCCTTTTCCCCTCCTTTCCTTTTTTCACCCCACCTTTTTAAACTCAGCCGGTTTCGTCCGGCCTCCCGGTTTTGTCCGGGCTTCTTTTTCTCTCTTTTCTTGCTGGCCAGCAACTTGCTGGCATAGTCTGGCGGTGGGGTTACACCGGGAGTCTACGCTTTTTGCTTTTATTTCGCGTTTTCCGGGGTTGGTGGGCTTGGGTCTTTTTCCAACATCTAAATATGGGTGCTCACCTGTCAAAGGCTCAGTTTCAGTTTTGTATCGGGTATCCTTTTTCGTGGGGGTTTTGAGAAAATTAAAAGGAAAGAAATAAGAAAGTTAGTCATATGGCTGTCTGCCCAGTTCCCAGAGGTCTCCCCAGAACAAATTCATGATTGGCATTTTTGGGACCAAATCTGCGTTAAATTAGAAGAATTGGCGAGAGTGGGGGACTCCTCATTGTCGAGAATTGCTTTCTGGGCCTCCCAAGTTAGGGGAGTTTTAAAGTCCCAGAGGGAGCTGAGGAGACAGCCATCTGAACAAAGTTTGGTTTCCAGTTCTCCCTGTTCTCCCTGCCCTACCCCTTCTCCCTCTCCTGTTACCCCTAAACACGGGATCCTGAAGGGAGCAGCCCGCGACAGCACCGCGCGGAGCTCGTCTCACCGCTCCTGCTCTCCTCGGGAATCCTGATCCCCCCGCCCGAGGAGTCCTGGCCAGACTCCCCGGGAGTCTCCCCATACCCCCTTTTCCCCGGTTCATAGGACCCCAAGTTTAAAACGTTCGGTTCGGTTCAGTATTTCTCCTCCTTCTCCCCCCTCCCCATTGCCCTCATACTCTTCACAAGATGGCTCCCAAAGAGCCCAAGATGGCGGGAGCCACATGGCATTTCCCGCCAAAAATCCTCCTTCTTCCCACAATCCCTTTTTCTCCCACCACAACCCCTTCCATCATCCTGACTCCTCCTCTTACCCCTCTCCTTCACCTTTAATTTCTCCTCCCATCGCTCCTCCCTCCCCTCCTCCAGAACCTCCTCCCCGCGGCACTCCCCTTCCAGCGTCGGCTCCTCCCTCATACCACGCCTCGCAGGCGGAGACAAAGTCACCACCCGTCTCCGCCCCCATCCCTGGCTCCTCCCCTTCCTCCCTCTGTTCCGGTTCCCACGGCCCACCTGCCGGTTCCCACGCTCCATCTGGGGCTGGGGGGGGGGCTGAGGGCCGGGACCCGGGACCGCCAGTCATCTCTGCGGCCCCGGTCACTTACCATCCCATGGGGGAGGGGAGGACCCAGCCCCAATGGACCCCGTTCCCACACCACTCGATCAAGGAGTTGTGCAAGGCCCAGAAGGATTTCTCCCGGGAGAGTGAATACTTCCGGGAGATCCTGAGGGCCACACTCTCCGAATCAGTGGTCACCCCCGAAGATCTGAGGTGGTTTTCTCCTGCCTTTTAAACCCTACAGAATTCCTAGTATGGGAAAAGCATTGGCGAAGGGAGATTGTTAAAATCTTACCTTCATTGTGGGAGAACCCAGTGTCAGCCACGGATCTGCAGGGGGGAATGCTATCAACGGACCACTTGTGTGGGACGGGGACATGGGGGGATGGACAAACGCAGGTGTGGTATGTCCCTGCGGCGGCCTTGAGGGAGGGAGCGAAGGCAGCCGAGCGGGCATTCCTCACCCTGCGGTCCCCTACCACCCCTTTAACATCCTTCATAAAGATAGTTCAACAACCTAACGAGCCATTTTTGAGTTTTGTTGAGCGCCTCCGCAGAGCGGTCGCGACGCAGGTCCAGGATGAAACCACCAGGGTGGGGATCCTCACAGAGATGGCGGCGACCAACGCCAATCCAGCCTGCAAGGCCGCCATCCTCAGTTTGCCACTGGATCCTCCACCCACTCTGGACCAAATGCTGGATGTCTGCGACCGGAAAGTGAACATCATCGTGGAGGAGCTCAACAACAGACTCAAGGCTCCGGCTCGGAGGGTGGCCGCCACGGACTTGGAGGAAGTTGCCGCTGCTGCTGCTCCCTCATCCTTCCATCCCACCACGCCCAGGATGCAGCCCCGGACAGATGCCCCATGTCACCTGTGCGGCAAGTCCAGTCACTGGATGCCGGATTGTCCCCTGAGGCGGGAGTTTTATGACTTCAAAATGAAACAGCGGCCTCAGGGGACAGCACAACAACAGAAAAAAAACTAATCAACAAGCGCGCCCCCTCCCCACGCAACGATAAAAATAGGGCAGGTTCCAGTTTACCAGCACGCGGGGGAAAGGGAGAGGAGGGAAACCTCCAACAGGACCTGCCTGTTGCCACAACTTCCTATACATTACCGGACATGACTTTTATCCAACCTACTTCTTGTCTTTTCCAGGCGGTGCCACGGCCAGTCCTCACGACCACCTCGAGGACAGTACCCTTTCGGCTGCAGTTGACGGAGCCGCTCCACCTCAGCAATTCTGACATCCAGTTGGTCTCCGTCAGCCCGGAGTGCCCAGGTACTTGGCATCGGACCAAGGGTAGGTTCGTCATAGTTGGAGATTCAAAACTGACACCACCTGACATTCACATCATCCCGGGTCTTCTATCATCAGACCCAGGAAAATTTGCCATTGCCATGTATTGTGCCAGCCCTCCCACCTTTCTGCCTCGGGGTCAGATTGTGGCGCAAGCCCTTCCTGTCCCTGGGGGGGGTCTGGGATCCAGAGCCACCGGGAACATCCACATCCTCACACCTTCCATCAGTGGCCTGGGCCCAGGCTTTAGGCAGAGAAAAACCTAGAATCACCTGCAGCCTACAGAGGGGTGGAGACCAGAAGCTCGTTCACGGGCTTCTGGACACTGGAGCAGATGTCACGGTCATTCCCTTGCGGGATTGGCCGTCGCATTGGGAGCTGCAAGATGCGGCAGAGCGGATCCGAGGTGTAGGGGGGATCCAATTGGCAAAGCAGTCAAAGAGCATTGTACAAATTAGGGGGCCGGATGGACAATTGGCTTCTGTGTGTCCATTCGTTTTAGACTACACAGAGCCCCTGTGGGGAAGGGACCTGCTTGCCCAATGGGGAGCCCGAATTGATCTACCAGTGGCTCCCCAGGTTTTTGGGGTGGCGGTCACTGAGGAGCGCCCTACCCAGAAGCTGAATTGGCTGACAAATACACCAGTCTGGGTAGAACAGTGGCCGCTTTCAAAACTGAAATTGAAGGCGCTTGAGGAGCTCGTGGAGGAGCAACTACGAAAGGGCAACCTGGTAGAGACCACCTCTCCGTGGAACTCCCCAGTGTTTGTAATCAAGAAGCCAAATAAAGATAAGTGGCGGCTCCTTCATGACCTCCGACAAATAAACAATGTCATCGAAGATATGGGTCCCCTCCAACCAGGGATGCCCTCCCCAACAATGCTCCCCCGAAATTGGAATTTGGCCATAATCGATATTAAAGATTGCTTCTTCCAAATTCCCCTGCACCCGGACGATGCCCCGCGTTTTGCTTTCTCGGTACCTACCATCAACCGAGAGGCTCCCAGGAAGAGATACCACTGGCGAGTTCTTCCACAAGGAATGAAAAACAGTCCAGTTATATGCCAGTGGTATGTCTCTTCCCTGCTATCACCAGTAAGGGCGAAGGCACCCGATACCATCATCTTACATTACATGGACGATATTTTAGTTTGTGCTCCAACTGATGACGTGCTTACCCAAGTCTTGACCTTACAACCGCTGCGTTGGTTGCTGCAGGGTTTGAGTTGCAGCAGGAGAAGATTCAGAGGATGCCACCCTGGAAATATCTGGGTCTTCAAATTGGCAAAAGAACTATCATTCCCCAAAAGATTACAATTCGCAATTCAATTCGGACACTTTCTAATGCCCAGCAGCTGTGTGGGTCCTTGAATTGGGTGAGGCCTTGGCTAGGCATCCCCACCGAAGACCTAGCCCCCCTTTTCAATTTATTGAAAGGGGGAGAGGAGCGTAGTTCTCCTAGGTCTCTCACCCAAGAGGCACAGACTGCGCTGGAGAAAATCCAAAAGTCCATCTTGGAGAGGCAGGCCCATCGTTACCAGCCGGGTCTGCCCTTCAAATTCATCATACTCGGAAAATTGCCACACCTCCATGGAATGATTTTCCAGTGGGAGGACAACAAGGATAACACCAAAAAGGACCAAGGGGCTAGGGACCCTCTCTTGATCATAGAGTGGCTGTTCCTTAGCCACCAAAGGTCCAAAAGGATGACGAGGCCACAGGAGCTGTTGGCGGAACTGATCTGTAAGGCTCGCCTTCGGATCAGGGAGCTGGCAGGTGTGGACTTCGCATGCATTCACGTTCCACTCAAATTGGAATCGGGCCACTTCACAAAAGCTATGTTGGAACACCTTCTCCAAGAGAATGAGGCCCTGCAGTTCGCTCTGGACAACTACACTGGTCAAATTTCTATTCATCGGCTGGCCCACAAAATTTTTAATCAGGAGGTTCAATTTAAATTGTCTCTTAAGCAGGTTCAGAGTAGAACTCCTCTGAAAGCCTTGACAGTTTTTACCGACGCATCCGGCGCATCCCACAAGTCAGTTATGACTTGGAAGGATCCGCAGAGTCAGCGGTGGGAGGCAGACATCAAAGAGGTGGAAGGATCACCTCAGGTCGCTGAGTTGGATGCTGTCGTCAGGGCTTTCGAGAAGTTCCCTGGACCATTCAATCTTGTCACCAATTCAGCTTATGTTGCAGGTGTAGTTGCCCGCTCTGAAAATGCGATTCTGCAGGAGGTGTCCAACATAGCCCTTTATCGCTTGCTCTCAAAACTGGTGAACTTAGTCTCCCACCGAGAGCAACCGTTTTATGTGATGCATGTGCGGTCCCACACTAACCTGCCAGGGTTCATTGCTGAGGGGAACAGGAGGGCTGATACCCTTGCTGCCCCTGTGCAGATGGCCCCGCTCCCAGACGTGTTCCGCCAGGCTAAGATCAGCCACCAGCTCTACCATCAGAACGCGCCTGGTCTGGTCCGGCAGTTTCATCTTAGCCGCGACCAGGCCAAGGCCATTGTGGCCACATGCCCCCACTGCCAATCATTCCAGCTCCCATCTGTCAACACGGGAGCCAACCCTCGAGGGTTAGCGAGCTGTGAGGTGTGGCAGTCCGATGTAACTCACATTTCTGAGTTTGGTAAGCTCAAATTTGTGCGCGTATCCGTGGATACTTTCTCTGGCGCTGTCTTTGCCTCCGCCCACGCAGGGGAGAAGGCAAATGACACCAAAAAACATCTGCTTTTAGCCTTCTCCACACTGGGCATCCCCAAAATATTAAAAACAGATAATGGCCCAGCATATAAATCCAGGGAGCTGCGCAACTTCCTGCAGCAATGGGGAATAGAGCACAAGACCGGCATCCCCTATTCCCCAATGGGTCAAGCTGTTGTGGAGCGGACCCATCAGAGCCTCAAAAGGGTCCTTCAGCAACAACGAGAGGCAATGAAGATGGAGTCCCCCCAGGTCTGCCTTGCCAAGGCCCTTTTTACCATCAACTTTTTAAACTGTTCATTTGATAATTTAAATCCACCAATAGTAAGGCACTTCGGGCAGCATCAACAACTGCAGCCGAAAGAGAGACCTCCAGTTCTCGTTAAGGACCCCGAGACCTGGAGGACGGAGGGACCCTTCGACCTCATCACTTGGGGGAGGGGATACGTTTGCGTGTCCACTCCCTCAGGTCCAAAATGGGTCCCTTCGAAATGGGTCAAGCTGTTCACTGCCCCCCGTCCATGTCTGGCCAGGAAAGTGGCACAGGTCGAAGAGGCCTGTTGGAGGAGGAGGAAGAAACCCTTCGAGGGGGATTTAGACATCATCCCTGGGCAGAACCATCCCTTATAATTTATTCTAATGACTCTCTGTTCTGTTTTCTTTAGCCCAAGAAAGCCCGAGAATGCCCGTCCCCAGAATTACCATCAGGTTGATCATCCTCTGGAGCTTCCTCATGATCGCGAGCCCGTGAATTGTCCCCCAACCCAGACAAAACGTCTGGAGAATGCTTGCCGGCGCCCTCGGCCAGGATCACTTGTGCCTCACCACCGCATCGGCAGCAGACCCCTTGTTGACCTGCCTTGTGGGGATCCCGCTCCCTCCAGATGAGTTTCCTGAACCCCTTTACTCCTACCTCGAACCCCTCTCCCAAAATAAAGTCTTCCGCCCCTCTAGTCCCAACCCTAATTTGATCTGGAGGAGGCTAATGTTCAAATTGAATATATCAAAATCTGAACCTATTGAATTTAAACTGCTCGGCTCCGCATCGGCTCGTTTGTGTATTGAGTTTTTCCCCTTCCCCGGCCGCGACGAAAGATCTTTCACACCTGTCATAGAACCTAATCAGAACTACGCGGCGGGGAATTGGTGTTCCGTTACCTCCCATATTACCACCTCCCTTAGCCTTGATGATAAACCCAGAGCCCTCCCTAATGGTGTATTTCTTATTTGCGGAGACCGGGCATGGGCAGGCATCCCCTCTCGCCTTATAGGAGGCCCGTGTACTTTTGGGCGGCTGACGCTGTTTGCGCCTAACAACTCCCAAATTAAGGATTGGAAGGAGAAAATAGTCGCACACAATTCAGCCCGCATAACAAGAGACCTGAAAGACTTAGATGAACAGTGCGACTCCAAAATTGTACATTGGTCTAAGCCAGAAGGTGTCGCATGGACAGTTTTTCTTCCGTGGGTGTCCATTGCGAAGTCTCTAGGTGAATTGGCCCACCTAGAGTGTTGGGTAGCCAAACAAGCAAATTTGACCTCAGCCGCTTTGAGTGACCTCCTATCAGACGAGGAAATAACAAGGCAGGCGACCCTTCAGAACAGAGCAGCAATAGACTTTCTATTGCTGCTCCATGACCATCGATGCAAAGAGTTTGAGGGGCTCTGCTGTCTCAACTTAACATCAAAAACCGAGGATGCCAGAAGCTCCATATACAAAATGAAAGGGATGATCAACGATATTAAAGAAAGAACATCGGACTGGTTGGGGGACCTTTTTACGGGATGGGGACTCTCGGGCTGGGTGGCCTCTGTTTTAAAGACTGTTGTTTTGGTTCTGTTTGTTCTGTTAGTTATCTTGATTTCCATCTCCATCATATGGAGAATTCTAAAGAGACTTATTCTTAAGTTAATTTCGTCTGAGGAGGTCAACCGAGTGGTGGTCGAAGAAGGAGTTTCAGACGAAGATGAAGAAGGAAGTTCGGAAGGAGAAGAATACCAGATGGAAGACCACCCTTGGTCAGGAGACCTCCCAGAGGACAGCTTTTAAGTTGCCCCTCTCCCCCTTTTTCTTTTCTTTTAAACAAAAAAGGGGGAGATGTTGGGGTGTGTTTACGTATAGTGGTTCATTCCTGTATCCCCTATTTTCTGATAATGGTTCTGCCCGGACTCCCTCTCTGTCTCCCTCCTGGATCGCCCCGTCAGTTATGCTTCTCCCCTCCCTTTCCATACACTGTATCCTTCCTAACCCCTCCCTGGTTGCCTGTCCGTCACTCGGTGCCCACACCCTTCCATCCAGAACCTTCTACCTTGGCATCGGGTGATTGGACCAGGGGCCAGGGCTCCACCCCCAGTTAACCCCAGTTGGATACCCGAGCTGTTTGTTACTTGTTTTCCCCTCCCATCGAAAATTTTGATTGGTCCTCGTCCTCATGTTATAAGGCCCTGCTGGGCATGTTTTTCCTTTGTCCGCGCCCGACGACCCCTCTGCAATAAACACCCTCGTTTTTTCCCCCGTCGACGCGGTCCTGCCTTTTCCTTCTCCTGTGGGTTGCAGCCCTGCTCCTCTTCACTGCTCTGTGGATCCTCGCTTCCAAAGGCGATAGCCTTTGGCGCTCTCTCAGGGAAGCCCTCCGGTGAGAGAGTGCCCCCAGTGCTGCCGGCAGTGCTGGCCGCAGCTAGCCAGGACATTCAGAGACTTAGAGGTCAGCCGCCGCCGCTGCACCCATGAACCTCAGCGAAGAGAAATATCAAGTCCCACACCTGAGGAGGAACAGCTCCACCCACACACCAGTGTATGCTGAGGGATACCCACCTGGAAAGCAACTGGGCAGAAAATACCCTGGGGTTCCCAGCTGAATATGAGTCAGTGATGTTACTTGCAGCAAATGTTACTGGCATTCTGGTCTGCATTAGAGAAAATACAGCCAGCAGATCAACAGACTTGATCCAGTCCCTCTGTTTAGTGCTGCTGAGACAACATCTGGCGTACTGTGCTTAGTTCTGGGCTTTGCAGTGCAAGAGAGACATGGATGTATTAGATAAATTCCAGAAAACAGAAACTAAAATGTTCAGGAGAATGGAGTATCTCACTGGCGAGGAAAAGCTGAAACATATGGGACCCTTCAGCCTGTGGAAAACAAGGCCCATCTGTAAGGTTACTAATTTTGCTAAACACCTGAGGAAAAAATGTAAAGAATCTTTCTTCTTTTCAGTGGTGACAAGGCTAGAGACAATGAGCAGTATTGGAAACACAGGAGGTTCCCTGTGAACATCAGAAAACACTTCTTGTCTGTGAGTGTGACTGAGTACTGCCACAGGCTGCCCAGGGAGACTGTGCAGTGTCCCTCTTTGGAGAACTTCAAAGGCTGTCTGAGACACTGAATCCCTGTAATCCTGCTTGACTGGGGATATTTGACTAGATGACATGCAGAGATCCCTTCTAACCTCAATCACTCAGTGGTTCTATGATTCTGTGATTCTTTGGATCTAGGATATATAAATTCTATTACTCTGAAATAATTTTAGGTGATTACCATAGTAAGGATTTAATATTGGATGTTTGTTCCTCTGCAAGATGTTCTTGAAAATAAGATATATTAGAAGTCGAAGACTGAGATCTAGTTAATTGTGTCTGAGGCTTTTAAAAAGGACACAATCCATTTCTCTTCATTTAAACAACAGGATACCAGAAGACACTAAAATATCTGCTATTTCACTTCTTTCTAGTAGATTCATTAATATCCTGGACCATGCAGGTAATTTCAAATAGCATCTTCTCCCAATATGGTTTTGCAGTTCTTATCACCTTACCAAAAACACTACTGAACACATTGACCAGCTGTAATATATTCACTGTGATGCTGAATATTCCAGGCCCTTTTTTTTTTTTTTTTACTAGACTGTACAAAATATCAGCATTAAAAACAGACAGTTCAAAAATCTAAGCCTGCATTTGAAACCACTGTCATTCTTTGTGGCCTGACATTCTAAAAAAATTTGCAAGGCTGTATGGGATGAAATTTTCTTGGTGAAGAGTTTGGTAGGCTTCACAATAATACATTTGAAAAAGCAATTTTGTACCATGGCAGATAATTAACAGTTTAGGTTGTCTCAAATATCAGTAGGAGTTGCAGGTAACAATGTTATGTTCTATTTCTACAAGTTTCAGGAAATTGATGGTTAAACAGTTCCTCTTACAGATATGATGAGAAAAAAAAAAAAAAAAAAAAAAAAAAAAAAAAAAAAAAAAAAAAAGCTCTCAAATTTTCTTCTTGAATAAACACAATTGTAAGCAAAATCAATAAAGAGCCACGAGCCACTCAAGTAAAGTCTCTGAAAAGTCCAATTACTTGAGAACAGTTAACCATTCAGAATGGAACAGGACATATGAATGAACATAATGAACATTTTTTCTTTTATGGGGGTAACTTTGAAGATCCAGAAAGTTTTACTTTGTATAAATAGAAGTATTTCCTTGATTTTCTTTTTTTAACAGCAATGAGACTACATTGTATTCAAAAGGCTGACACATTAGAGGACAAGTCTAGAAATCAATCTGATTTTTTGCCACAAAATTATCATGCAGCTCTAAGTGGTTCTGGTTTTAGCAATTTTATTCACAGTAACTAGTATGGGGCTATGTTTTGGATTTATGCAGAAAATAGTGTTGGTAATATAGAGATGCTTTTCTTATTGCTGAGCAGCACTTTCACAGCATCAAGGACTTTCCTCCTTCTGATACTTCTCCTCCAGGTAGGAGGCTGGGGCTGCACAAAGAGAGGGGATAGGAAACAACCAGGACAGCTGACCTCAACTGACCAAAGGGTTATTCTGGACCCTACAGTCTTGTGGTCACTGTGTAAAGCTGGGGGAAGAAGAAAGAATCAGGATATTTAGAATGGTAGCATTTTTCTTCCAAGTCACTATTCAGCATGATGGAGCCCTCCTTTCATGGGGATTGCTGAACATATGCCTACTCATAGGAAATGGTGAATGAATTCCTTGTTTTGCTTTGATTTTGTGAGTGGCTTTTCTCTAAAAACTTCTAATCTCAACCTATGACTTTTCACATTTTCACTCTTCCAATTCTCTCCCCTATCCCATCATGATGGAAGTGACCAAGTGGATGTGCGGGACTTAGACTTAGTGGCTGGGGTTAAACCACAATATGAATGAAAAATACAGATTTCACTTTTGCCTGAGAGTATTATACTAGGCCACTGATTTTACAGAAATTCAAAATGCCATGATGGTACAACAAAATACCATACCTTTTCACTAGCCATTTCTATCAGAAATGGAATGCATACTTGATTAATATTTCTATTCTACTGAACAGTTGCTAATATTTCTCTGAGTATCACATCCATAATTAACAAAGAAGATAGCCAGAGTAGTCTAGAAAGGAAATACAGAAAGGATCAGAGATGCAGTTTAGTAAAAGGAAAGCTTGACAAGGAGAGAGAAAGGAGAGAATAAACTACCAGAGTTTTCAGCTAGAAAGGAAAATATCAGCAAGAAAAAAATATAGCAGCTTTCATGAACCTAAAAGATTAATGAAGTTCCATCACCCTGCCTCTTCAGAATAAGCCAAACTGTGGTTATGGAAAAAGGATATTTGTAAAGTTTTATTTAACATTAATTTACTGGGAAGCATTGGACTAGTTTGCAGAGGAAGTCTATGCAATTGCATCACAAGGGGCTTGGGATTTTTATTCCTCTCTCCAAGACCAGGTCAGGTAAATAACTGCCAGGAAAAAGGAAGCATGATCCTTTTAAGATAGATGTGTGCTGCAGATGACCTTTGGAAATCCCTTTTACTTTTTTTCCTCATGAATCTATGCCTCTACTTCATTATTCTATGCAATACCAGAAATTCTGACAGAGCTTAAACAAGGTCTAAAAAGGACTTTACAACACAGAAATATCACTTTTCCTAATTTTGACCCAAATTGGAACTGTGTGACAAAATCCTTGTCACAAACTTATTGAATATCAGCTTAAAATGCATTCTTGCTCCCTGGTAGCTAGAACCTTGTATCTTCCAAATGGGTAAAAGTTACTAGTCCTTGCTACCAGGAGTCTGCTTGATTTTCTCTAAGTGAATTAAATTATAAGTCAATAGCTTCTCTGGTCTTGCAATGAGAAACACAGAAATAGTAGACTTACACAGTACACAAAATCAAACAGGTTTAGTTTAGTTTTATTCTCCTTAATAACTTGAAAACAAAACCACATTTTACTGAACAATTACCAGGCAAGACACTGATTTATTTTATGTGATGTGCAATTCTTATGTCCCCTTTGACTGTCACAAGCAGAGTGGGAGCTTCAAACAAAATTTATTAAAGAAGTCCTTCCTGAGTCACAAAGTGCAGAAAAGACCCCCTTTGTTTCCTAAACTCCTTCTCAGAGAGGAGCCTGGGTGCAGCTGGATATCCAATCTTAGCCCCAGATTTTGTCAACAGTTTAAGCCTAAGGAGTTATAGAGGTGTGAGGAATATTTGTACAACTTTGTCCTTCAGGATTAAGGATCCCAAACCAGATATATTTCTACAAAAATGAATGATTTAGTGTGATAAATGATTTAGCAAGAATATCTTAATCAGAATCATTTACTGCAGAGAATCTAAAACTACTAGTATAGTATAGTATAGTATAGTATGGTATATTATAGTAAAATGTATTATGGCAAAGCAATTATATTAAAGCAATCATATTAAAGCTAGCAAAAAAAACCCCAAACCACCAAATTTTAAGTAGAGATTTATGCCCATACGATCAACTGTGGGAAAAGCTCTTTCTTTCCTCCTCAAGGAGATACCTAGATGGGCTTCCTCATCCAAAGAAAGAATTTCCACACATATTTCAAGAAGAGCTGTGTTAGAAGAACCGGCCATTTGAAAGAGGAACTGGACTTTTGGAGTGCAAAGTGGTTGACTGACAGTTGTATGTTTCCACACTGGCTGTGCTAGGTCAGCATTTTTAGATAAGGATGCTTTAGATCTGCCCTATCTTCACCTCACTATCAAGATGTTTAACTTTGGG